AAACAAAATACTAAATTAAATATTGTGAATGTAAAATTAAAATTAAAAATAAAAAATAAAAAATTAACAATACTTTAAAAATTTAATTATTATTTTTTTTAAAAAAGAAGGTGTACTTATAAAAAAAAGAGATGTATATATCATGAACCCAAATATTATTGCCTGTATCGGTTGGTATAATGGGCCATCTACAACGACCCAAAATTATTTCATGCGTTGAAGTCTGAAGATCAGCATTCCCTGTTCCCTAAAGCCTACAAATAAAACTACCACTAGTTTAAGATAAGGCCCAGTGTATGAAGATGGAATTCCACTCTCGAATTTAGGGGTGTAGGCGAATACATATAACTTACGAATCTTAACTAACTCAAATTAATTCAATAAATTTAGATTGAATTTTTTTAATATTTAAATCAGATCTAATCTAATTCAATTAAAATCCAGTATTATATTAATCGAGTAACAAATTTTGTATTTTTAATTTATTATTCACATGATCTAACCCGATCATATATTATAATAATAATACTAATAGTAATACAACTAATAATAATAGTAGTGTTTGAATAATTATTTACTCAAGATAATATTCACTATCACTCTTACTTAGTAACAAATTTTGTGTTTTAGGTTGATAATATTATAATAATATAATATATTTATTTTAAGTTTTATTTTGTATTAATTATTGTTCATTTTTTAAGTGATAATAATGTAACAAATTAATAAATTTATTTTAAAATTTAAGTTGTATTATTTTTTGCTTTATAAGTTGATAACATTGAATTTACAACAATGTATCAAATGATTTACATCTATTTTTAAAATATTTAATTTTTTACAATAAATAAATAAATATAATTATATTGATTTGATTAATTCAACCCAACCCAACCTATTCGTGATTGAGTTGTGTTAAATTGATTTTTTTTAAAATTAAACAAATCTAACTCAATTCAACCCGTTAAATTTTGATTAGATCGGGTAATGAATTTATCCAAACTTGACCTATCCAACTCACTTATACCTTAGTCGAATGAGGCTAAATGACTAATGTTTTAGAGGGAAAAAAATAATGTTCCCCAGACTAATTTGTTATTATTTATAAGTTGTTTAGTATAGTAATATTTTTTTTATATTTATTTAATTTTGTTTTCTACATAAATTAATTTATTAAAAAAAATCAGTTTATTTTACTTTCCTTTTTGTTATTATTAGTGTGTACGACTAAATTATATAAAAAAAAACAAATTTTTATTTTTTAAAACAAATTATCTCTTTGTTTAAATTTTTTTTCTCTAAAAGCGTTTTTTTTAATAAAATAAACACTTTTTTATGTTTATCTAAACTTATAAATTTAAGAATTAATTTTTATCTGTTTCTTAAATAACTATTTTTAAAAAAATACTTGATTAGAAATATTTATTTTTAAATTTAAACAAATAGATCCTCTCTATATATATATATTTGAAAAATAAATGAAGAAACGTTTTTTTTATAATTATTTCTTTTAGTTTTTAATTTTTCCTCATAATCATGGTATTTGTCAGAGTGTCCTCTAATTTTTTTTATTACTATTTTTATTTATTTATCAAATCTAATGTTCAAACTCAAGACTTTGAGAATGAATATCAATTGTAATTGTCCGTTGAACCAACAAACATGGTATTGTTATTTTTTTTCATTATTACTTTTTAGGTTAAGCAAATTGACCAATAGTTGTTTAAAGTAAAAAAAAAAAAGGGTAAAGAGAGGGGATAGAATTAGTGATTTTAGTTAGGAAAATAAAAGTGGAGTAATATTTGAAAAGAGAGGAGAGATATGTTTACTCCATAAGTAAGTCTATCTAAACTTACTCTATTTAATAACTCATGTTATACATCAAATTTCAATGATTCAATCATTGAATTTGAAATTTTTAATGCATAGAGTGAGTCAAAGATTCTCTATCTCACTGGTATTGAGTGTAGTGTGAATGTCGTCGAGCATGGACGTCAGGTGGAGGTTAACCACGTTAACCGTGAATGTTTTGAATGAATATGAGATATATGTTGTTGTATATTGTGTTGTGGATGTATGAGTTATATGTTGTTGTGTAGTATTGTGTTATGAGATGCATGAGACATGTTGTAATGTTAAAATATGTTGATGAGATACATGGTACATGTAGTTGTGTTGTGTTGTGAACTTAGGATTAAAGGAGAGGTATTGCTTTTAAAAAAAGTTGAAATATTTCATTGGGTGAATATATATTGTGGTGATGTAAGAGTTCAATTGTTGAAAACATTTTTGAGCATAGTTGTCTCTTGAAGTGGAGTGTTGAGTCTTCTCCAAGTCCTTGATTGATACCACATAGGTGTTAGGTCAAGCCATATTGGCTTAAAAGGGCCAATTGAGTAAGCTATGAAGTTAAAGGGTAAAATCCTTAACTGATTAATAGAAAGGTGTGTAATATATAGAGGGTAGTTGATGTGTTAATTCTTTATAAGCTTGGTTGATGCATACTAATGTCATGGTAAACTACACCCAAGTTGTTCTATTCCTGATAAGGATATTAGACTTCCCTATTTTAAGTGAAAAATTCAAGAAATCATGTTATATTGTGGATTGATATCCAAATTCGTTGTTATTTTAGTAAACCAAAAAAAATTGTATTGTTAAGTTGGTTCAGTAGAGTCAAGTCACTTAGACTGCTAATCTACGTCGTAAGAGATCTCTTTGTTAAAATGCATGATGTTGCATTGTGTTGTCATGTTGTCATATTGGAGTATTGTTTAAGTTGTTGTATTGTTAAGCTATTGAATTGTGGAAAGATGTGTTGTTATTTACTAAGTTGATTTATTGATTAATTGTAAGCTAGTATGCAAATAAGATGTATATTGGAGTTGTAAGTTGAAATGATGGTATGTTGTAAAATTGAGTAGTTGTATTAATATGTTATATGTTTTTAATTTGGGTCTTAGATTGATGAAAAGTGGTGTTCAATAAGTTAGTATCTTTAGTTATTATTTTATACTATGTTGTTTTCTTGATTATGAGCTTACCCTTGCATTTTTTCTTATTATTGGACTGCGATAGTCATATTATTATGGGAGTAGGGTTGAATTAGGCTAAAGGGCAAACTGGATTTGAGTGTCATGCTAGAGATGATGATATTTTCGTTTGATGTTGCTCTGAAACAGCTTGTGCATAGTAAGCACCTAACCTGCGTTAATGTCTTTATGTTTTCAATACTTATTACTAGATGTATATTTGTATATATGCACAAGATTTTATTTTAGCCCCATGAAAGGTTTTATCTTTTCAAGTCAAATTGGCAAGAATTGTATTTATGTTTTTTTGTATCTTATACATATATTTGTTGCATGAATATTTAGGTATTATTACATGAATATACATGTATTGTTGCATGATAACCCTAGTGTAGTGAACTTATTTAATTTTTTTTTGCTACTTAGTTGTTAAACTATAAAGTATAATGACTTGTCGATTCGTTACATTAGTACTAAAAGTTTTTCTTATACCTATGTCAATTACTAATTTCTTGTACACAATAAATGAGTGTAAAATGAGTCTTAGAGGGACGTGTGACACATCTCTACTTTCCTATTTCTTTGTTTATATAGTGTTTTTCTATACATGTTTGCAATGCTTCAATGTGTTTTTGATCTTGAGTATACAAATTAGAACACACTAAGACCACAATAAAGTGTTTTTTCATTATTTTTTCTCTATTTTCTAAAACAAATTATTATTAGGAAAAAAATGATGATAAAGAATATTATGTCATGAGAATGACCACTATCCTAAAAAAAATTTCAATGTGATCTAATTGTTCCCAAGATTTACACAATAATATGCATGCAGTTAAGACCAAAATACACCAGAAACTTACAAACAATGACATAAAATACATAATGGAAGAAACTATAGGAAGGTAGAAATGTGTCACTCGCTTCTTTAAGATTAATTTTACCACTTCTCAAATAATACAATCGATTGATTGACAAATATTTATACAAACAATAACATACATGCTATCAAGAACTATTAAAGTAAAAATAAAAAATAAAAAATTTAAAAAGTATGAGAGGTTTAAAAAAATGTAATTGAGTGCAGATGAAGTAATTATAATTGTCGTGTTAAATATTGGGGCCAACTATCCCATCCTTTAAGGTACTTCTAACGTAGTGAAGATATTAGTCACTGCTATCGGTGGTAGATACTCCATGGATAAAAAAAAAGTAATTATAATTTATAAAAATAAAACCGTAAAAAAATTATACACAAAAATCTAGAATCACTTTTTGATATATGACGTACATCTTTTTTCTCTCATGGTTGTACGTATCCATTTCATTCAGATAATAAACACAATCAGTAAAAAAAAAAAATCACATGTAACGCATATCTTAAATAGAAGAATAAAACTCTAAAAAAAATAGAAGAATAAAATTAAATATTTTGAAACATATATATTTAACAGCCTAAAAATGTAATTTAACCTTCTTAAAATGAAATTCCGTATAAAATTCTCAACACTTAAACATGTTAAATCGCAAGTGGACTTTTAAAAAGGTACTACGAAAATAAGAAAATGTGGATTTATTTATTTATTTATCGACAATCCGGGGATAATTTAAAATTATATTTCCTCCTGCGACGGCATTCAGTGATCAGTGATTACTTTTCCTTTTTTTTTTTAAAGGAACCTTCGACGATGGCTGCTAGTTTTTTGTTTTTTTTTTTGGTGCTTGATGGTTGCTAGTTAAATCGAGTTTTTTTATTAAATATTTTTAATAATCTCTTTTAATACTTAACATTTTTTAAAAAGAAGCATTAAATCTAATAAAATACACTCTATGTAGTAACATTTAAAAAAGAAAAAAAAATTAATCGTTGTACTATTTTTTATACTACTTTTTAATTAATTAATTAATTAATTTATTTATTTATTACTATAAATAAGCGCATTTACAAAAAGATGTCACACGATGTTTTAAAAATGAATGCAGTAGAAGTAATAGTCAACATTGAACGAAGCGTTGAAAGCACGAAAGGCGCATACATACCAAATTACCAATAACCACAACACACTTCACATCGACATCGGGTGTCTCCTTCTAACACCCCCGTCGCCGGCATGGCGCTCGCCATTCTCCTCCTCCACCTCTCTCTCCTCCTAACACCCGCACTTGCCGTGGAGTTCCTATTTAACTCCTTCGCCGGCGTCACCAACCTCACTCTCATCAAAGACGCCCGCGTCGACGTCTCCGTCGTCCGCATGACCAACGACTCCAACCAGTACTCCTACGGCCGAGCCTTCTACCCCACCAAGCTCCCCATGAAAACCGCTTCTAATTCCTCACGCATTTCTTCATTCTCCACCTCCTTCGTCTTCTCCATCTTGCCGCAAATCGCAACCAGCCCTGGCTTCGGCCTCGCTTTCCTCCTCTGCAACACCACCTCCCCTCCCGGCGCCCTCGCCAGCCAGTACTTTGGATTATTCACCAACGCCACTTCCCCCTCCGTTTTCCCTCTCCTCGCCGTCGAGTTCGACACCGGCCAGAACCCCGAGTTCAACGACATCGACGACAACCACATCGGCATCGACCTCAACAACATCGAGTCCAAATTCGCAACCACCGCCGGCTACTACAACGCCTCCGGCGCCTTCGTGCCGGTGCGCATGCGCACCGGCCAAAACATCCACGCCTGGATCGACTTCGACGGCGAGAATCTCCAGTTCAACGTAACCATCGCGCCAATCGGCGTTTCGCGCCCGTCGAAGCCTACGCTTACGTATCGCAACCCCGAGATTGCTAACTACGTGTCTTCCGACATGTACGTAGGGTTTTCGGCTTCGAAAACGAACTGGATCGAGGCGCAGAGAGTCCTGGCGTGGAGCTTCAGCGATTCAGGACCGGCGAGGGAGCTGAACACGACGAATTTACCGGTGTTCGAGCTAGAATCGTCGTCTTCCTGGCTTTCAAACGGAGCAATAGCGGGAATCGTTATCGGATGTTTGGCGTTTGTGGTTATATGCGCTTCTGGTTTTTACCTGTGGTGGCGAAAGCAGAAAGGGAGAGAGGAAGAAGACGATGAGATGGAGGATTGGGAGTTGGAGTACTGGCCGCATAGATTTTCGTACGAGGAATTAAGTTTAGCGACGGGTGAGTTCGGGAAGGAGAAATTGCTAGGTTCGGGAGGGTTTGGGAGAGTGTACAGAGGGGTTTTGGCGAACCACACGCAAGTTGCGGTGAAGTGTGTGAACCACGATTCGAAGCAAGGGTTGCGTGAGTTCATGGCGGAGATATCCAGTATGGGGAGGCTGCAGCATAAGAATTTAGTCCAAATGCGAGGGTGGTGTAGAAAGGGGAATGAGCTTATGCTGGTTTATGATTTCATGCCGAATGGGAGTCTGAACAAGTGGGTGTTCGACCGCCCCGAGAAGCTTCTAGGGTGGGAGCAACGGCGTCGTATCCTTGTCGACGTGGCAGAGGGGCTTAACTACCTTCACCACGGTTGGGATCAGGTTGTTATTCATAGGGATATAAAATCCAGCAACATTTTGTTGGACGCCGACATGAGGGGAAGAGTCGGGGATTTCGGTTTGGCCAAGCTTTACACGCACGGGGAGGTTCCCAACACCACACGCGTGGTCGGGACGTTGGGCTACTTGGCGCCGGAGTTGGCCACCATTGCGGCGCCCACTTCGGCCAGTGACGTCTACAGTTTCGGGGTGGTGCTGCTGGAGGTTGCGTGCGGGAGGCGCCCGATAGAGACGTCGGTGGTGGAGGAGGAGGTGGTGCTCATTGATTGGGTGAGGGAGTTGTACGCGAAGGGGTGCGCGCGTGAGGCTGCGGATGCCAGGATTAGTGGGGAGTACGATGAAGGAGATATGGAGATGGTGTTGAAGCTTGGCTTGGCTTGTTGCCACCCTGACCCGCTGAGGAGACCCACCATGAAGGAAGTCGTCGCGGTTCTCCTAGGAGAGAACCCACCGGAGGCCCCCGGAAAAGTTCTCTCCGATTTGGTTCGCTGCGGCGGGGAACCCGATGAGGCGGCGCCTTTGCAACCCTCCGCTCGGGTTTGAGTTTTTGACTTGTACATGATTTGACTTTTCTTCTTTTTTTACCTCTTTTTTAATTTTTTTCGTTGAGCTTCTTGTGATTGGATTTTGCTACATTAATTATGGTTTGATTTGTATTTACTTGTTTTGTTTTCACTTAACTTATTGGATTAGTTATACTTTCAATCAAGGTCTTCTGGACTCTCCAGAGTGCGTTGTACCTAATCAAGGCAAGATTAGTTTATAGTGTTTTAGTCAACAAGTTCCAACTTATTAGAGCCACTTGCAGTTGCATCTGAAAGCGAAGATTAGCTTGCTTAGTTGCTTTCCTCTCTGGTTTATTATTACCTTTGTCCAGATGAATGGATTTGTATTCCACATAAAAGCAGTTTAATATGGCATATGACAATGACGAGACATATATGCGCATTAAACAGGTGCCACGATCTGCACGCATGTTTGGAAATTTCCAATTGCTAAAAATATTTTGTATAGATATTTGTCTAAAACGAGAATGTTCCAACATGATCAGGTTGAAGATCACATCCAGAGATAAAAGAGGATGTTCCGAATGCAATTTGTGTATGACATTTGGATTACGTTCAGATGTGAACATTGTTAGGAGAGCATCACAAGATTCACAACCACATTCTTTAGGGGGACAGGAAAAGGGTGTTTTGATTAGGACAAAACTTTGAGTCCATGATACTTTTCTATAGATGCTATTTTCTAAAGAAAATACAACGTGTAACAGATATTGCTTGTGCTATATTTTCATTGATAAACTGCAACATATGGTGTGCTTTTATTGGAAAACAACATCATCAATGGAACAGTACCTAAATCTTTCTCCATTTGACTATAATATTTAAAAGTTAAAATACTTATGGAACATTACCTAAATCTTTCCGCCTTTTGACTATTGCATTCAAATATCTATTGATAGATATATATCTATTGATAGATATTAGATACACGGGGGCGCTTTGAAAGCTTACTGAGATCCTTGCCTTGATAGACCACACAAATTTGGGAAGCCATATTTGGACTTTTACAGCGTGAAGTTGAGAGTGTGGAAAGTGAAGCAGGATTCTGTTCTCTTTGCACTGAACTTGATACACTCGGATTCCTGCTTGCATGCGGCCGCCACCGATTCCTTCATGCTTTCAGGTCCACAAACCAAAACTCCAATATTAGATCCACCGCTTTCATTCCGGAGCTTGCCAAATATATCTGTTCAATTCAAAGCTACTTAGCTGTTAACTGTTTTGTCAATATGGATTAGAAAGTTAAAGAAAGAAAAGATGAAATTACTACCTTTAAAGTTAGGCCTTCCCCCAAAATGCACTTCATGTTCTTCAAGTGCATTCCTAGCTTCATCTGAACTTAGATCAAGGGGTTTAATTTCTCTTTGCGATATTTGTGGAATCCCTTTCCTAAGCCTTCTCCATCTCAAAATAGCTGCCACCGAGGTGCTGCAACCTAAAGCTAGGACAAAAGCAGCTATCAGAAGAAGATCCACAACCCAAGAGGGAGTCTTTTCCTTTGTCATTTTGGACCGCTTTCCAGATGGAATTATAAAATGGTTGAAACAGATAAGGAAAATAAGGAAAATGATGGAGCAAAATCCTACAATGACAGCCATCCAAGATGGACTTTCAGGCCCGTATGCTGCATAATCTGAACACACGCTGTTCATTTGCAGGGTTCTGACTTTTAAGAACTCATTTAGTAGCTCCCTAGTTCCCACCTCCGCTTGTGTTTCTTGGGTTACAAACAATTTTAGATTCAAATGAAAATTTTCAGTTGGTTGGTTGAGTAACAGATGCGAGATTGAATGTAACAGACAGAAGTCTTGTGCCTTTTTAATGACATACACAAGCTGTATTCTCGAGGGAAATCTGCTTTTGCTGGTAGCTGAATCAGCTTCTGTCAAAATGCTCAGAAATGGGGTTATTCCACTTCCGCCAGCAACCAGAAGAAGGGTGTCATATCTGCAGACAATGTTTTTCATTATTCCGGATAATCTTATACTTTTTAACTGTTTTCCACATTTGAAAAAGATTATTAGACCTTGAAAAACTGATGACAAGTTACGACCGAGTTATTATGATAAACAGCTCTATCAAAAATGTTAGGTATAATGTTTTTGCTCACCTCAAAAAGTCTAATGAAGGAGGTCCATAAGGTCCTTCGATTGCAACAGGTATTCCCTTCCTTTTATCTGCAGTTTTGTCTAGTTCAGCATGTACCAGGTCATAAAGAGAATTAGTCCACCTCCCTTCACATTTAATTATCACAGACAAAATATGGTCATCAGCCCTGGAACTAGATATTATACTGAACGAGTGCCATTGAAGATGAGATATGGTTGGCATCTTCAAAAATATAACACTTGTAGGGTTATATTTCAGCCCTGCAAATAATTAAAAACAAACCGTTTAAATGGATTTTTTCTCCTGATCTTTTCAATTCTTATGGTCAATTTCAGATAGCTGTAAAACAACTAAATACCAGGATCTTTGGGAAGGATTAGCTCCACAGCTTTGCAGGGAAAAATTCTAGCAGAAACGATGCAAGTTTTTGGACTTGATTGTATGATTCGGATCAGTTTATCAAGGCTAAAAAGGAATATTCCTGGGAAGACTGTATAAAAGTGCCTATCCCCACCATGAAACAAGAAAAATACTAGAAAGACTGCATACAAATGATGTGTGTAGTAGAATATTTCAAACTTTCTCCTTCTAATTTGGGGAAGTGAAGTGATCCATATAACTAGCCCCACCACAAGCGTAATCTCCCCAGCGAGGTATATACGTCCTGTCTTTTGCCACTTCCAAATCTATTTGAAAAATATGATGCCAGGAGGAGAGAACTAATCACTTGCTACTACCACTACTAACTAGTACTGAGTGTATATTCAATGAATATTGTAAAATTTATCTGATAAAGAAAGTGCTTCCAAATTAAAATAAGTAATGATTTAGACTTCACCTCATGCTGTATATGGTGGCTGACCCCCCAGACCAACAAGGTGCTTGCGCCATGTATCGTACCAAAAAGTATCATTGCAGTGCCGAGCCAGGTATGATATCTAACTGAAGCTTCAAACTGAATGCCAAGTATGCGAAACACAGCCAACCCCCTTAAAATAGGAAGAAGCAGCAATGCCAGGCTGGCTTCTGCTAGCAAGCCAAACCGGGTTGCTATTCTGAGATACTTGAGTTGCCATCTGAAATCAAGTTACCCATTGGTAATATGTTATGGATTATAAGTGTTTTTGAGAATTTCTCTACTAAAATATACATTTTATTTTTGGTAAAGAAGATATCAAAAGTGTTTCTAACTTGTATCTAAAGTTCTAGTTGAAATAACAACTTTTTTACATATTCAACATAAGAGCATTAACACTCACGTATTCAACTTGAGTGATTTGTCCGGCATCAACTTTTTGAAGTCTGAGGAAATACGAGAGTAATAGGTCCATGCTAAGAAGACGATAAAAAGGAAAGCTACCAGTATTTCAATACTGGATAAGATTCCCACTGTACTGTTCACCACCAGTGGATTTGAGAAGATATTTGATTTTGAAGGAACCCTTGCGCTTCTGTAGTACCATGGAGACAAATTTGAAGCGAAACACCCATTACAATAATTGGACGGCACTTGATAGATATTAATATAGTATTACCTGCTTCTTTGATATCCAGCTTTCAAATCCAATGAAAGAAGTCCAATTATAGCAATAGCAATTATAGGAAACGTGTACACAGCAAAGCTAAGACCTGTATAATAGTATCATCTATCATTTTACTTCTAATTTGCATTTGACCTGAAATTCTTGGAATTTAATGAGTTGTTTTGTAGTAACAGATTCATTCAAGAAAAGCAAGAAGGGATTATTTATGGTATGACTCATTGAAGTTGAGATTCCACTTTCTTACCATAGTATCCAAAAATTGTATCATTGGCGACATCTTCTGCATGCTTCCATTTTCTTGTCCATATTTGGGTTGGCTTCAGAAGCCAAAGGGAAACCCAACCTGCGAACAAGAAAATGATCAGAAGTTTTAGAATAGCAGCAAGTAAAGTGGTTCCGCTAGCCATGTCTGACTGGTCTCCCTCCGCCACGAGCTTTTCTTTATTTTCACTTCATTAAATTTGACTAATGTCTTTAAATAGAGGAATCTAAGTAGAAAGATACGTTTGCCATTTAGGAGGTAAAGATTTGCCCCACCACTTCCTTTAGTGCCCTGTCACTTATGAAGCATTTTCTTCAGTAATTTATCAATTTACCAAACTAATGCAATATTTGAACGGGTTATGTCCACAACTTAATTCTCCATTTTCATCATTTTCATATTACCTGAGTTCACTTTTAGCAGTGGACATTTGGGCTAAGGTGTGATTAAGCAATTAGTACACGATAACCCTATCACAGACCATCATCATTACATTATATATATAACAAAATGGTAATGTGGAAACTCTTGGTTATAATCATCCATTTTTTTCTTCTTTGATTATTAGTCCCTCCATCCGAATCAGATGGTGGGATTCTGGTCCCTGCCACGAACGCTTTGCCTCCATCCATGTCTTGTTTTTTCTTTACAGCCCGCTTTGCCTCTCCCAGTCATACATCAATCTATCAAATAAATGTTAACTTCAGGAATCACATATATTTTGGGTGCTTATCTAAGTTTTGAGGTTATCTTAAATACCGAAGTTTGTATGTTAGAATAGTGGATTAAGCCTAACTCAACCCTACAAAACCGGCTTGTAAGGTAAGGGTTGCTTTCCACTTATATATTATTCAATTGCCTAATCTCTAGTCGATGTGGGACTTGGGTTTTTCCCAATACACCCCCTCACGTCCAGCACTATTGGGCTTGGTACGTGGATAAATGGTGGGTGGCCCTTTTTAATGATCTAGGATTGGCGGGACTTGGGTTTTTCCCAATACATAAATGGTGGGTGACCCTTTTTTAAATGATCTAGGATTGGCGGGACTTGGGTTTTTCCCAATATTGTGGGAGAATGAAAATAATGAATGAGATGTTGATAAATTGTTTTAATTTATTTTAGTATTATAAAAAACAGTTTATAGAAATTAGTTTTATCCTTTTTAATTATAGAAACAACTTATATAACTTATATATAAGTATTTACATGTTAAATGCTTATTAAACACATTTATAAGCTCTTAAATAAGCTATTTATATAAATTTTACCCTTTATGAGATCTGTATTGGAGGTGTATCTATGTCAAGTGCTTTATGTGTATTTTTTAATACTCTTAATTCATTTTTATTTTTAATATAAAAATAAATATATAACTGAAAAGGGTTTTATTGTTAAAATGCAAACATTATTATTTTATCACTTACAGATGAATTAAAATTTTCCTAATTTTTTTTAAAAAATAATTATTTAATGTTTTTTCCTCATAAAAATGTATCAATACCAATCCCAAAGAGAAGGATATCTCCTCATATTCTTAGTTTCTTTAATTTTTTTTTATAATCATTTCCAGGTTAATACGTGGTTGAGGTTTGGATAATGGTAATTATTGATTAAGCACTGAACGGCCATGATGATGACACCCACAGACCATCTGCTAATATTGCAAAATTGAGTGAACAACAATATTTGTCCTTGAAATTCAAACGTGTCAATCCGTTGCTCTAAAAAGTTTACGAAATTAAAACAAAAATCTCAAATTAGTTTGCTAGTCACATTAATATAATATTATAGTATTAAAAGTAAAGATTCATTGATTTAACAATATCATATAATTATCATTTTAATATAAATATATATTGGCGTGTTTAAAAAAATAACTTGATTAAAATACTATTTTATATAAACTCCAAATAGCACATGAGAAATAAAATGGTTTTTCAGGGTGCTAGCTAGTATGAAGGTGAGTGAGCTAATCTTTGAAATTAGATCGCGAGCAGCTGAGATTGAATTATAGAATTTGGGTTTCCTTGGACCAAATTTGGTGCCTCTCATAATACTCCTATCTCTATCCAACGGAAGTTGCCCTAAACTGAACTGCGATGGTGTTTTTAGTGATGGTGTGGCTTCTGAGGGGGAGTGGTTCGTGATTGGAATGAAAACTTTGTGTTTGTGGTGACTTTTTCTTGTCATTTGGGCTACAGTGGTTTTGGCGGCATGACTTGAAGACTATCCAAGATAGAAGAAACCTTCATGGGGCTATAAGTGGAAACCAACTGTGCATTAGCAGCCATGCCAAGTTCTAAATGATGGGTGTTTTAAGCATCATTTTTGTTATTCCTGGATGAATAGAATAGTATGGCCCAAGATAAATCATGAGGTGTCTTGTTATCGTATTTATAGAGAAGTGAATCAAGTTGTAAATAACTTGATGAATAATTTACATGTAATGCCGTTTGGAATAAATGTTTTTTGTACTCCACCTTCATGAATCCATTTTTCTTTCTTTGCTGATTTAACAATTGTTTCTTTTGTTAGAGGTTTGTGGATTTTGGACTAGTTAGTCCCTTAATACAAATAAAAAAATTATTTAATAAATTATTATTATATAAGTGTCTGCATTATAAACATTTTAAATTTAATAAATTTTTTATCTTTGGATATACTCTTCAGACTTATATATAAATAAAAATAATTAATTTCATACAGATTAAGAAATATGATTAGATATATTTAGTTTTCATGATTTTATATAAAATATATATTACATTTATTAAAATATCTTTAATCATATTAATTAAAGATAGTACTTTCATTTATTACTTTGGAATTGTTTTTGGATTAAAAGTATTAAATAAAATTTACTTAATTGAAAATTATTTATATTTGAGTCCAAAAATTTAAGTACTTTTTTACTTATATATAAGTTCTGAAGGGATGCATGAATAAGTGTCTATATAATTTTAAATTAAAATTTTGAATACATTGGTGTATAGATATTTACAACATATTACCCCATTTTAAAAGTCTTAAAAAATTAAATCATGATAAAAATTAGTCAAATTTTAAAAAATAAAAATAATTAATATATTAGCATTACATGTATAAAAAATATTGAAAATAGTATCGCTACTCACCATTTACTTATTTTTATACTAAAAAAATAAGTATTATAATTTAAAAAAAAATATGTGATACATAAAAAAGACTAGAATAGATTGTTGTCTCTCTTTTTATTTTTGCTTCAAATTTAGTCTTCTAAACTTAAAAAATTTCGCTTTAATCTCTTAAAGTATCTATGTTAAATCAAATTAGTCATTTTGTCAAATTATTTTACTAATTTAGTGACATGTAACAAGTTGTGAAAATGTTGTATCAATCAAAATTACCACTGAAAAAATTGATAGAAAAACTAATTTGGTGAATAAAAACACGTCAAACTTTTAAATTTAAGAGTTTAAGCTTAAATCTAAAATAAAAACAAAGAACAAAAATTTTATTTTAGACAAAAAAAATCACCATGTGCCTATCAATAATCTTAAAAAATTAAAATATTTAATGGTCATAAATGGTTAAAATGTAAGTTAAGGTGTTAAAATTAAAATCATATATATCTTAAAATCACGATATGAGCTTAAAAAATTCACCATTCGTATTTATTAATAAATGTACGCATATAAAAATAGTAGATTATTATAAAGATTCAATCACTACACACTATTATAGAAGAAAATATATATAAATTTTTTTTGCTAATAATGCATGAAAGAAAAGGAGACATTCTCCTTTTCTTTATTTACCTCCTCTCCATTCAAATCATATTTTTTTCCTTTTCTGTATCAAACACAGGCCTACCTGTTTACAATATTCTAAATCTGTTGAATGCATCTCATCAGTGTAAGATAAAGGTTTTTTGAAGTACATCCCAATGATTGTTATTTCACATGATGTGCCAAGAGTCGTTGTTGGAATGTTAACACCTGAAGAAAACAATGTCATTACTCATTATCATATATCCACAAAATGTCACACTCGACAGCTTAAGCCGTTCAGGGATTGCAGCATTGACATCAACGAAAAGGTTATTACACTGCTGGCGGGACAAACAATTCCCCCATTTAGTTTCAAATAACATCTAAAAAATTTCTGCTAGCTGGTTGATTTTTCTGCATACATTCTGATCACGGAAGCTGGCATATGTAATCCATGATATTCAGGAGAATATAATGCTTATATTCCATTATTCATTGATACCACTATGGTCTTAGAAACTACGCTTGATTTCCTAAATACAAAATTAAAGGTTTCATAACCAAAAATGATGTGGTCTTGAACGAGTCAATATTAACATGACTATAGTTAATATGGGTAAATTGTTGCAACTAAATAGCCAAAAGACACCATTATCACCAAAAAAATGAAGGCAAAAAGGGGTCAGCATAGAATGACATGTCCAATGAGCTTCTGATATTGACAAAACAGTTCATCAAAAAATATGTGTAAATTGACAAAAGAGAATGATGTCCTTTCTTCACTTAGTTAAAAGCTTCGATTGCAACAAAGCTTTCACGTAATGCCAAATTAGAATCAACCAATTTATTCTCTTTCTATTCCTACCCCTCATTTGTAGTGTGAGGGAAGTTGAGACAAAGAGGCAGAGCTAGACATGGAAGATGTGAATCGCATCCCAAGAGAAGCAAAAGATTACTATTCTAGTTCAATATGGTTGTCAGAAAATGCACAGGTATTTGAGGATCTCAAGAAAAGTGACCTTAATAGAGTTAATGGCATCTATGTTACTGCTGGCAAAGATTCCTACGGCTATGACTACCAGGAAATAGAGACTCCTGAAATTTCCAGAACATTGACTTCAGAAATTGTGGACTATGATCTCTATTCTAGACAAACATTGACTTCAGAAATTGTGGAAATAATTGAGGATGGCAGCAAGAGCATAAACAACAAAGATAGAAGAGTTGATGATCTTTATGTGGCTGTTGGCAAAGATGACGTGGATGTTGTCAAATGGGCTCTTGATCATGCTGTTTCTCCTGGTTCCCGGATTTTTCTTATCCATGTCTCTTCTCCAATCACATTGATTCCTACGCCAGGTACCACTAATCTGTTTCTCGTGTTGGGTGATCAATTTCTGGTATTACAGTTCTATTAAATGGTTTTGCATATAAATTATAGCATTAGTGTATCAAAATTTGCATTGTCTATCAAGAATAAATCTCAAATTCTCAAACGCTGAATTTAAAACCTCAAATGATATGTGCTTGGTGGTAATGACACATGTGATAGTTGGAAAATTTGAAAGAAGCCAACTTACCCCGCAGCAAGTGAGACTATACGTGAATGAAGTGAACAACAAGAGGAAGGATCTTTTGCAGAAGTACATTCAGATGAGCAACGAAGCCAAGGTACGTAGTAACTCAATTCCTTTATGTGCATGGTTCGGGTTTTTTAAATAATCAAACTGAATCATTATATAAAAAGTAAAAAACAGTTGGGCTTATTCATTCTTACACATCCTTATCTCTAGATATTGGAAAATACAGTAGATATTGGGGTCTCTACTGCTTCAAAAACATTTACCTACTCAAAGATCCTTTGTACAGTGTTAGTGTCAATTCTGTTGTTGTACCTTCTACATTCAATAATGCAATTACAGCTACAGTTGCTAGTACCTTTTACATTTGGCATAATCATCTTGGGCAAGCTAATTCACACTAAACTGAATTCAGTATTCTCCAATACTAGACCACAAACCATATGCTAAAATTAATGCAATTCTGTTTTTCTTTTTTTTTTTCACCTTTTCCTATTTGTCTCCGTGTTGTTTTCTCTCCCAGGTAGTAGCAGAAACCTTGCTTCTTGAGAGCAATGACACAGGAAAAGCAATTCTGGACCTCACCACTATTCTTAACATAACCAACCTTGTCATGGGAATCAAAAAGCTACCCTGCACACGGTATGCTATCACTGTTTGGATTTCATTCACAAATGGATGACAAAGGGGTACAATTTCATTCTGAGAAATGACATTAACAAGTAATGCAACTGTAATTTGACAGAAAACCAGCTAATTGCGTGTTTTTTATTTATTACAAGTGTCCTTGATAAGACAACTAGTGCATTATTACATCGCATTAATTTTTACATATATTTTGAAATTAGTACATATAATTATAAAGATGACATTACTTTATTATACTTTTTTTTTAAAATCATTGTCTAAAATATAATTAGAAAACTGAATGGTGTTAACTTAAAAGATTAAAAAACAATCAAAAAATAGTTTTTTTTTATCGAGCTCAATAGTCAATATTAATGTATTATATAATATAAAGAGATGTCTCTTTTAATAACTGCAATTTTGAATTTTCTTTTTACTGTAATATGTCTATCTAGTAGAATAAAATGGGAGAGAAAAGAACACAAAAATAGTTTTAGTTTTCACATTTTATTTAACTATTTTAGTTTCAATCATTTACACCTAAAAGTACACCCACTCATTTTCAAAATCATGTAGACTATAAACGTAAATCACCCATCATTCTTTTATTGTCCACTATATTGTCATTTTCACGTATACTATATTTTGTTTAATAAATAAATAAATAGAAACATGAGTACCCTTTTCTCCTTTTGTTATTATTAAAATTGAATATTGTTAATGTATTACTTATTTGCTTAAAAGAGACGATAGAAAGGATTTGAAACTTGTACTCCTAATTTTGGATCTTTCTTTCATAGAATTAAATCTATGAACAAAATAACCATTTATAGTTATTTGTAATTGAATAATAAAACTTCTATATATATATGTATATTAATTAAGATATATATATATATATATATATATATATATATATATATATTACTATTAAGTTTAAGTTGTTTATTATATAAACATTAATTTCAAATCATAATTAGCTGAACTTTTAATTGTGAAATTACTAAAAATGATTTTATAAAATTTCACACTTAATATAAATTTAATCGATTAAATAATAACTAGCTTTAATGTGCATTTGTATAAGTTTATCATTCATTTATCACTATAATAACATTTTTTATTGTAGAGAGCAGATTTTTGTTCTTCTTTTTTAATGTAACATTAACTAAAAGAGAGAAAACTCAGAAACGTGTTGAAAGAGAAAGTAACACTTGTTATTGAAAAACCTCAAATATTATATAGATAGGTACGGAGACGGGCAGGGCTCCCCTATTAAATATATGATCATGTTAAAAGACTTCTTAAAAATAGCATATATTTTATATCATTAATAATTTTATGATTTAAAAGAATAATATTTATAAACTAGATTAGTAATGATTATAATTTGATGTTTATTTAAATTCATCATTAAAAAATTTCTAGACAGACCCTTTAATAAGAATTTGGATCCGTTCTAGGATTCATAGATAAATAGATGTCAGAAACAGGTGCTAAACATTTAGGATTATTTATCTTGGTTCTTTAATTTGTTGTTTTGAATAGGCGCAATAACAAACTAAGCAAAGGAGTGCTTGTAAAGAAGAATGCACCAAAATCCTGCAAGGTTACCTTGGTTTATAACGGCGAGGTGTTTGTGTCTAAACCTTACATGGATGGCTTGGAATCCTGTGGCTTAGAATCACAGAGTAAAAGCCACTCCAAAGCTAACATCTTTCAGTGCATGTGCTTTTCAGGCAAGTGCAGTCAACTATTGATCTTATCTCTAAACTCTTGTAATGATTAAGATGTTCAATAAATTATTTCACTTCAAACATGCACGTTCAGTTGAGTATAATTTATACCAATTAGAGACTAACATGATCAACGTACATGTTTTGAGAACTAATTTAGTTATTTACCAAATTATGTTTGTACCTTTTATTTTTATAATCTCTCACTCTGGCACTCTCCTTTCCCTTTCCTTGCTTACAGGGTGCGTGAGAGAAGACAATGGTACCTAGTACACTTCTACGTGTAATTTGAATTTCAATTGTCTAGCATGCTGAATTGAATGAAGCGAGCTTTAGAAATCATGTTACGACTTTCAACTTTCCATCATGAGGATGTAAATGGGCTCATGAATCATTGACTTAAAGCAACAGTGGATCTTTTTTTTTTTTTTTTTTAAATGATAAACAATAGTGAAATTCAGAATAGTTTTATAGTAGTATTAATTATTTTATTTTTATTTTTATAATCTCTCATAGTGAAATTCACAATAGCTTTATTCCCAAAAATTAATAATGTGATGGGCATGAGTTTTCTATGGCGCTAAATAAATCCCACTATTGCTCATCATAAACAATGTAAATGGGATTTTTCTGTGTATGTGTATTAAAGACAAATTTGTTATTATTTTTCAAGTGAAATATTTTATCTCATATATGTACTTATTTTTTATGACGTAAACTGTGTCAATATATCTTGATTTGTTTTTAATCTGCCTTTAAGTATGTGGGATTAGGCATGACAACGGGGTGGGGTAGGGTGGGGTGGGTTTTACGTTCCTCGCCCTCGCCCCTCGCTCTCGCAAATTTAAATCGCCTTCACCTTTGCCTCCGATACACGTCGGGGATAAAATCTGGGTCCCCATCCCGCTCTCGGCGGGATTCGAGTTTTCCCGCCCCGCTCTTACTCCCGCTCCTATTTTTTTCTTCTTTTTTCTTTTAAATAAATATGAATAATTTAAAAAAAAATAAAAAAAGTAAAATAATATAAATTTTTACATATAAATATTTCTAATTTTGGTTTATATATATATAAAAATAATTTTTTAATTATATTAAGCGGGCGGAGGCAGAGCGGGTTAGATTGTCATGCCTATGTGGAATGAGTAGACCCATTACCAAAAGTGAGTTAGAAAAATGAACCATTTTATTTGAAACACCTTTTTTTCCTAATATTTTTTTATTAACATTCTAAATAGCTATATTACATATATATTTTTAAAAATTAAAACCTTTCCTCTCTCCCATTAACACACCTCATATTCTTAATCTCTTCATTTTTTTAAATGAATCTTTTATCATAATTTATATTTTAATCTTTATAATTTCACTTATTTTATCTTTTAGTTTCTTTAGTGTAAAATAGACATTTTTTTTTATCTTTATACTTATATTTTTCAATCATTTTTAATTTTTATAGTTTAATATAAATATTCTTTATTCTTATATTTACAATTTTTTTAATTCTTATAATTTCTATGGTTAATTTTTTTCCGTAACATTGTCTATTTTGTATTGGTATAATAAAGATCTTTAATTTTGTGAAGAAGGGTAAAAAAAGTGTCTCAATAATAAATATCACATATGAAGATAAAAAAAAAACTAAGCATTGAAAAACCCAATTTAATGAAATACCAACAAAATAAATTTAACATTAGAAACACAAAGTTAAATCAATAGATTCAATACCTCTATGACGAGAGTAAAAAAAAAAGTGTCTTAATAATGAATTTAGCATGTAAAAATACTTTATAAATTTAATTTAGAAAAACTTTAACAAAATAAATTAACAATAAAAACACAAAGTTAAATCAATAAATTCAATTCCTCTATAAACAAGGGTAAAAAACAAGTGTTTCCGAAATAAGCATCATAAATAAAAATACAAAAAAAAAAAGTGTTAAAAAACCTAATTTAAAAAAATTTAAATAAAATAAATTTAACATTAAAAACACAAAAATTAAATCAATAGATTTAATACCTCTAAAACGCATAAGATTAAAAAAAATAACTATATAAATTAAAATTATTAAAAAAAAAACTGTAAATATAGACAAAAAAAGTATTTAAATAAATTATAAAGATAAATTATAAAAATTTTAAAAAATAAATATAAAAATTTAAAAATATCTATTTTAAAATACACGAACTAAAAAAATAAAATAAGTAAAAGCATAGCATACATTGTTAGTTGTCAGAATAAAAAATGGGTACACACAGGCAGGCAGAAGCATTGAACGGTGGCGGTGGTGAGATTGAATTGCTTAGTATCAGGAAAAAGAGCATACTAGGACGTGTCAATTAGCAAAAGAACCGAGTCTCCTTCCGTCACTGTCAAGTGTCAAATAGCAAAGAGCAACCAACTTGCTCATATTCTTTTAATTTCTCATCCTGCTCCCCAAACCCTAGCGTCCACCAGATGAACCCCTACGACAATAGATACTCCGACGCCGCTTCTTTCCGCGGCCGTCGCAGGTATTTCTTCCTTTCGTTATTTCTCTTCTCGCAATTTTTTGAACGAAAACAAACCGTATTTGTCGTTGTATTGTGGCAGTGATTTCGCTGGATCTATTCCGCCGCCGTCTTTCGTCAGCCGCGGCGGCGCGGTTCCCTATGGAGCACCGTACGGCGTCGCTAGACCCAACGGTTTCGGATCCGCACCCGTTACCCCGGTTCCACCCTTTGTGCCTCCTCCTGGGGGCTTTAGTGTAGGCCGAGGCGGTGGTAGAGTGGGCAATGGTCACGTGAGTGATAGAAAATATGACGTAGGTCGTGGCGGTGGAAGAGGCCGCGGTGGTGGTGGTGGTGGTGGTAGCAGCAGAGCCGGAGCTCACGGTTTTAGGGGCTCCGGAAGAGGAGGTAGACATGGTGGTGGATCTTCTAGGGACGAGTTGAACAACATTGCACTCCCGAAGCAGGATTTCAGGAATTTAGTCCCTTTTGAGAAGAACTTCTACGTTGAGTGCCATGCGGTGAGGGCCATGTCTGATCAAGAAGTTATGCATTACCGAGCCAGTAGAGAGATCACCGTGCAAGGGCAGGATGTGCCGAAGCCTGTACGCATGTTTCATGAGGCCAATTTTCCTGGTACTTTAATTGTTTATGCTCTTGCCTTTTGTGCTTGTGGATGATGTCTTGAGTCTTTTGTCTGATTTTGTATGTTATGTTGTTGTGTCAGATTACTGCCTTGAGGTCATTGCCAAACTGGGATTTGCTGAGCCCACTCCAATTCAGGCTCAGGGTTGGCCCATGGCTCTGAAGGGTAGAGATTTAATTGGCATTGCTGAGACTGGCTCGGGTAAAACTTTGGCGTATTTGCTTCCTGCTTTAGTGCACGTCAATGCACAACCTCGATTGGGTATGTATCGGATTCCCTGCCTAATATGTTAGATGCTAGGTTTCCATTTTATTATGGTATAATGAATGTCTTTGCTGCTTTTTCAGCACAAGGGGATGGTCCCATTGTCTTAGTTTTAGCACCAACTAGAGAGTTAGCTGTTCAAATCCAAGAAGAGGCTCTTAAATTTGGGTCTCGTGCAAATATTAGAAGTACATGTGTTTATGGTGGTGCACCAAAGGGTCCCCAAATTCGCGAGCTTAGAAGAGGTCCTTGGTTTACTGTTTTCTGTATGAATATCCAATTGTATTTTGATCAAAATTTTGGAATAACAAACATGGACTAACATTTGGTGCTTGGCAGGTGTTGAGATTGTTATTGCTACACCTGGCCGTCTAATAGATATGTTGGAAGCTCAGCACACAAACCTCCATAGAGTGACTTACCTTGTGTTGGATGAAGCTGATCGAATGCTGGACATGGGTTTTGAACCTCAAATACGGAAAATTATAGGCCAGGTACTGTTTGCAACTACCCTGTAACTAGAAAGTACTAAGCAGAGGAAGAACCCTCGAATCTATTTGCATATGTTTGCTACCTATTGTTTACCTACCAGATTCAAAACTAGCTCCTGTTATGCTCTGTCTCTGTCTCCTATCAGTTGAGACTTGAGAACTCTTGGTTATTGTGAGAAATAAGAATGATTAATATAAACCATTAAAATATATTTGAATGGTTAAGATTCAATGATTAATGTATAACCTTTTTTAAGTGGCCATAGATCACTAATTAACTTTTAATCTTGAATGTGCTACTCTGCTTATGCTTGGTCACACAATTAAGTTAGTGGAACATTTTTCTTTTCATTACTATTTTCTTCATTTTTAATCAAATTTAGTTTTAAAGAAATTTAAGAACTGCTGTAGTATCTTATTTTTGTGATAGCTAAGAGGCACAGTTAGTTACATTATTGATTTGAAATACCAGATTCGACCAGATAGGCAAACATTATTATGGAGTGCTACATGGCCAAGGGAGGTTGAAACTCTTGCAAGGCAGTTTCTGCGCAACCCATACAAGGTTACTTCAATAGTGTTTCCACTTTTCTATTGTTATGTTTGCTATCATTTATCACTCATGGACATCTATATCTGTATGTTGCTGATTTCTTCGAAGAAAAAAGTATTTTGTGCTATGAACTGACTTAATTAAATGTCATTTGGGTGATATTGATTTGTGCATTTTTCTGTGGGATATCATGATCTTATAGGTAGTTATTGGATCGCCAGACCTGAAGGCAAATCATTCTATAAATCAAATTGTTGAAGTTATAACAGACATGGAGAAATACAATAGGTTTGTGTTCTCAATAATAATAGACAGTGACTAGTATTTTTACTTTCCAAATTAACACTTTAGATTTAAAATGCAGATTAATCAGATTGCTGAAAGAAGTGATGGATGGGAGCCGAATTCTTATATTTATGGAGACAAAGAGGGGATGTGATCAAGTTACGAGACAAATGAGAATGGATGGATGGCCAGCATTGTCCATCCATGGTGATAAAAACCAGTCTGAAAGGGATTGGGTCTTGGCTGAATTTAAGAGTGGCAGAAGTCCAATAATGACTGCCACTGATGTTGCTGCACGGGGTCTTGGTAGGATCACTGTGTGTTTAGAAGCTTAGGATTTTTGATCTAGGTATCTAGGTCTAAAACTTTAACCATAGGGCGAGTCGGCCGGCTGCTGTCCAGTTTCCCTTGATATAATTTGTGGTTTGGGTGTCTGGGGGGCCATATTGTCAGTGTGTTGGAACTTCCTGTAACTTGACCAAGGGATTAATGACTTGAATGAGATGAAATTGTTTTGCTGCAGTCAGTAGACAGCCTGCTGCTGTTAATTTGGGAACTATCTTTTTTACATGTGTCAAGTTATATGGATGCCTGGGTCGGAGTTCCTTTGATATGTCTTGGATGTTGATCTATAACTTCTAAGGTAGCATATCATGTGTGATCCTGTAAATTTCATAGGATGGGTTAATGCATGGCAATTTGCATGAGTGGCTAAACAAGGTTAGCTAACAATAATTTGCTAGTGTTGCACGAAGAGATATTAGTCACATGACTGTCATCCGCATTTTAAGAACATAGTCAAATTGATTGATCCCCATCCACAGTTATGGAGCTGGTTGTCTTTGCAGCCTGGTTGACTCATACATGCTTAGTCAGTAATTGGATGTGGTAGATGGCATGATGGTGAAGCTGCTCCTTATCCCTGGAAGGTTAAGGTGGGCACATTGATGTGATGAATGTGTTGAGTTTGATCTATTTGATCTCTTGAATCTTACAGCGCAGGGATAAGGAGTTTTGCAGTTTTCTCCATTTTTAAGCCTTACACTTAATTCCTTATGTTGTTTTGCTTTGTTGCTTGTAGATGTGAAAGACATAAAATGTGTGATCAATTATGATTTTCCATCAAGCCTGGAAGATTATGTCCACAGAATTGGTCGAACTGGTCGTGCTGGGGCTAAAGGAACTGCATACACCTTTTTTACACATGCCAATGCCAAATTTGCTAGGGATCTGATTAAGATTTTACAAGATGCTGGTCAGGTTGTGAGTCCTGCACTGTCTGCATTGGTTCGGTCAGCTGGTTCAGGTCAATTTGGTAATTAAAAATTTCTTTCTGACTTTGAACTCTGATGTATTCTCTAGGATGGTCTGTAAATTGTTCTTATTATTTTGTAGGATCAGGGGGAGGTTTCCGCTCTAGAGGACGAGGAGGCTATGGGAATCGAGGTTTAACATCAGGTTCCAATGCCATTCCTCTAGGTTCGAAGAGGCCTTGGCAGTGTCTATAGTTTTGGTGCTCTTTGCGCAAATTCTGTGTTTTACAGATGTTTTGAACATGCATGCATTTGACCCCAATTACATTTGAAACAACACATTGTTAGATTTTAGGACAAATTAATCTGATAATGACTGAAGTCTGGAAAGCATTTGTTAGTAATGATTGATACATGTATCTTTTTTTTCAGACTTGATAAGAACAATACTTGAAATAGATGATTAAATATCAAATATTATCTTATTTGTGCAATCCTACCTTGAACAAGACTATAATATATAACATAAGTTTGTGTTGATATATATATATATATATATATATATATATATTAATTTTATAATATTTTCAAATTAAGCCAAATTGAATTGTAATTAATTTTTTTATTTAGTTCGAATGATTTTTAGGATAAAAATTAAGTCAAATTATATTGCAAACACTTTTAACAATTAAGATTTTATTTAATAAATTAAGGATAAAAAAAATTTAGAAAAATTTTACATTTGTAAATTTTTTTTAATCAAAATAAGATTTTAATAATTGCAATCGCAAAAGAATATGGAAAACGTAGAAAAGATCTCATACCATTCATCTCTACCAGGTACGCGTACTTCATTCTTCGTCGTCACTTGAGCTGTGTAGGTGTTGAAACGGAGTATGAACAGTTATTACCTGTGGGCTAAGAGCAATGTATTAGAAATCCAGCGTGTATTGCTCTTGGGATTACGTGAACAACCTCCCTTGTTAGCACGCATAAGTTATCATATTAGTATTAATAAAAGTGTGTAATTTTTACGCAATAAACTCCTATATAATTGGATGTTATTTTTTTTTATAATAGCCTTTTTTATTTAAATTTCTTATTTTTAAAATTTAGAATATAAGTGTCTATCATATCGATCACAATACTTGTAGTATAATAATTATTAGATCTTAAAAAAAACAATTTAAAAATGTTATAAATTATACATAGAATTATATATATATATGTATATATATATATATAAACTTTAATAAATAATTTTTAGCCTTTATTTCTCTAATAATAAATACGTTGTAGAATACACTAAAATGCTTTTCAATTAAAAATGCAGCAACTTCAACATGTGTGTGAAATGCTAATCACTCTAATTATACTACCCGATTAGGACATTATATACCTGCATTAAAAAAATAATAATTTTTATTGGTATTTTTTTTTTCCTTCTCTGGAATATTCAAGGTTGATAACAGTGACTAATCTCTTTGTTATGTTGGAGGCAACTTAAATGGTAGAATAGCTGGTCCCAAGATATAACACGACTGCATACACAAGACAGGACTCGAATCCTTGACCTTGCTTAAGTGTGATCAACCTCTACCGCTAAACCATACGCTTGGAGTTATTGGTAGTTTGAAGATGAACTAAAAAATAGTTACAGAATATAAATAAGAGTAAAAATATACATGTAAAAGTGAAAACAAAATAAGATAACTAAAAATGTATTGCTTTTATGTAATGAAAATGGTAAAGAAAAATACTTTGTGCTTCTTAATATTTATTAAAAAAAATATTGGACTTGATAGTTATTAAAAGAGAATAATAATTATTAAAAAAAAAATATTTTTGAATTTTTTTTCTTCATAATCGTAATTTGTTGTTAGAACTCAAGTTTTAAAAAGAAGTGTCAATGTAAAAATCAATTAATTAAATGAGCAAATGACATGACACTATTAACAGATCTGATTGGTTGTCAGTGTAAATTTTTTTTACACTAACAGTGTATAAGTGATTAACTTTTTTAAGAATTAACAATATAAAGTTCTATTCAAAATAAAATATAATGAAAAACTCAAAACTTAATTATTTTTCAAGTCTGTTTTAGATGTTTATGAGAGACTCCTATTTATAAGTTAAGATAAACAACCTCTCAATTACAAGTAATAATTTATTAATAAACATAAATCTTCACTATCATTTATTCTTTGCTAGGAAGTCAAAAATAACTCAAATTTGACCTAAATAATGTGAAAAATTATCTAAATTTATTTAATTAAAATAAAATATAAAAATTATATCAAAATAGAAAAAGATGAGCTTATGTAATTATTTAGTCCAAAATTACTTAAACTTTGACATTAATATTTTTTTTGATCATATGAGTTTGAGCTTCTTAAGTTATCTTCAAAATGGGTTTAAATTTCATCTTTTTAGTATCTTTAAATTGGGCTCAAATTTTTTTCTTTAAGAAAAATGACCTATATTAGTGTAACTTTTGAACACCCCGGTAGGAATTTACCTTAATCTTTACTATTAATCCTTGCAAAATTTGCTTTATCATTTTCATCTTGAACTTTGTCATAGTACCTCCAATATCGTACAAAGGATCTTTGAATTGATTGGTTGAATCCCTATTAGAAGATCAATAGTGATTACTAAAAAATGTACTCCTTTATATATTTCAATTTATATTTTATCATATTTTTTTTAAAATTAATGTATCTTAAAAATCATTAATAATTAAAAAATCTTATCTCATAATATAAATTATCTACCATAAATTTAAAATATAATTTATATACTTTAAAAATATTTATTTATATAAAATTAAATATTATATAATTTATTATAAATTTAATTATATATTATATGTTATATATAATAAACATTTAAGTGTCTAAATTATCAGTAATATTAACCTTAATTAATTATTTTTGAAAGGAGTGAGAGAGAGGGGGGACAAAATGGTAAAAGGAGGAGCTATGGTTTGGCTTATAAATTTACATGTCTCAAAACCCTAATTCGTTGCTGCGGCCGCTCTAGCGTACGAGAGAGAGAGAGAGAGAGAGAGAATGACGACCCGCTTCAAGAAGAACAGGAAGAAGAGAGGTCACGTGAGCGCCGGGCACGGGCGTATCGGAAAGCACCGGAAGCATCCCGGAGGTCGCGGTAACGCCGGAGGCATGCACCACCACCGCATCCTCTTCGACAAGTACCATCCGGGTTACTTCGGAAAGGTAGGTATGCGTTACTTCCACAAGCTCCGCAACAAGTTCCATTGCCCCATCGTCAACATCGACAAGCTCTGGTCCCTCCTCCCCCAAGAGGCCAAGGACAAGGCCTCCGCCGACAAGGCCCCCTTGCTCGACGTCACCCAGTTCGGTTACTTTAAGGTTTTGGGCAAAGGGGTTTTGCCTCAGAACCAGCCTTTGGTTGTTAAGGCTAAGCTTATCTCTAAGATCGCTGAGAAGAAGATCAAGGAGGCCGGTGGAGCTGTTGTTCTCACCGCTTGATTTTAGGGTATTTTTTGTTTTTTTTTTGTTTTTTTTTTTATTTTAAAGGATTTTGAGATCTGTTATTTTTATTGCGCTTTTGCTTATTATTGCTATTATTGCCTGTCTGGACTGGATTAGTTGAGTTTAAATGGTTTTTGTGCTCAATGTTCTGGATTATATCGTTTTCGTTTCGTGTTATTGTCTGAGATGCGTGTTTTACGTGCTTTAATTGGACCTATAGCTTGTTGGATGAATGCTCACGCCTCTCGCGACACTACCTTTAATATCATACAAATTTTTCATGCTTAATACTGATTTGGATCGAATATCTCGCGCTGAGTTTCGATGTTTTATCTCTTGTATGTGGTGACTGGTGTTAATGTTGAATATATGATAAACCCTACAGCAATGCTTGATTGAAAATAAGCTAATACTTTAAAACATGGTTGGATTTGTTTTTATTTTAATTCTTCATAATAGTCTCATTAGTGGTAGGGTGTTTTTAACCCAAGAATGAGTTTTTCTGTGAATGCTTTCGATTATAGTTTGATTTTTACTGCCGAGTGGAATGGGAAGAAACAAATTGGAGAGAATTTGCCATTTTCTTGTTTTGATATCTTTGTGGAATGGAAATAGGACTGGTGTCGTTTCATACTTTAAATTACAGGGAAAGGTAACATGGGTATTGGATGGAATTGAAAGAAATGTATTCAATCAGGATTAGTTTGATTTTATCTTTGCTTAAACAATTTCAGCAATGAAACTTGGTATTGTTTCATTTGATTTTAGTTAGCCCGTTTACTATATCTGAGGGTTCAGTGTAATGTTTGTTTCAACCTGTTTGTGGTTGTATTAATTTGTATATCGTATGAGCACGAAATTGATGGTTGCGATTATGTTGTGCAACCTCCCTTTTTCTCTTTGATGGAAAATGGAAAACCCTTGAGTGCAGCTTTTTAACTAGTATTGGCAAATTGGTAGTTATACTCTAAACGCTGATTCACTGATGAACCCTTAAATCCTTAATAGAATCTCGGGAAAACATCCCTTCCCTCAGTATTGCTACATTGATTCCGTGGCTTGAAAAGGTGAAAAATGATGGTTAGTTTTTAAAATCAACCCAATGCTATAGCGGGAACGTTCCCCTCCGTTGGTTCTTATGCATAGATAACCTGGGATGCTTATAAATGTATAACAACTGAGTCTCTTCGCCAAAAGGAAAAAATAAAAACTTATCCTGGGTCTTCCACTCGTGGCAGAGGCCGCAAACAATTGTTAAAAGTACTATGTAATTTAAGAGGTTAGGCTGTTCATATCCCTTGTAAGTAGACTTTTGTTGGCCCTATTTTTGTAGGGAATGCAAACTCAGTTAGAATAGCCTTGCTAAACATTGCTACTGCGACCTTCTGCTGTCCAAGTGTTAGTCTTTTTTTAAATAGTTTTTTAAACATTTTTGCATACGTTGTCCCAACGGTTTCGTTTGGGCTTATAGCCCCTAATGTTTTAGCCCCATAAAAGGAAAGCCCCATAAGCTTATGCACTTGGCCCTCTAGACCTTTGATTCCTTCTGTTGAAATTTAAATAAGATTGTTTACTCCATATGTTCTCATCCTTGAACAAAAACTCTAGAGACGACAGGAACAAAAATCTAAATAAACGTACAAATAAAAGCTATTAAGAGTTGAAGTTTTCTATTGGTGCAAATATCATATTTTGGTCCTTAATTTCCAAAAAAAATACCTCTCACGCATACTTTTCTCTTGGTTATTATTTTTTTCTACATTTTTTTTAATAAATTTAGTTTTCATACATTTTACATATTTTAAATAACTATTTAAAACTGTTAACATTCTTTAATTGTTAATTACTTAAGCATATATAATATCAATTTTTATTTTTTTATATAAAATATGCGACGGGTACATGTCTTTTTTATTCTAATTATGATTACGATAATGAAATTAATTGAAGATATATGTGTATTTATTGAAGAGCATTTTTCAATTAAATAATGTTTATCGTGCTTATTCTCAGGTGAAATACCTAATTCAAACCATTGCTAACGACTATTGTGAATAAATCTTTTTCATTTTTTGAACTCACAAGGTGGTATTTGCAATTAGACATATGCAAAATTGCTTAATCAATTATTTCTAATGTGGGTTTTTTTTTTCATTTGTCCAATTAGAAAATTTTGTTTTCCATAATGTTAGTGAATTTAAATTTTGGATTCTTTTGATTATTATATGTTATTCAAATTGATTTTTTGTTGGATAATCATGTATAAAGTATTCACTGCAGGAGATAATAAACACACAAAATGAGCATTTCTCTTATGATATAATCTATTCCATACCCAATACAAGGATTCTAACCCTAGACATCTTGATTAAGAGACACAATTTATACTATTTTTCCAACTAATGTTGATGGTTATTCAAATTGATATCAAACATCTTGTAGTACATCTTCACCACATAATATGAATATGTAAATTTGTTTATTAAGGGTTTATTTATTAAACATCTAAAATTGATTACAAAATCATTATTTATAACTAGTGTATAAGAGTTACTATGTGTTTCTTTATATTTTAAAAAATAATCAAAAATAGAAACAATAGAGTAAATGGTTATTTAAGAAGTGAGATAGATTTGAAAAAGGAAATGCAGTTAAGTAATTTGGAGGTGGTTATAACTTATAAGGTAAAATAGTCTTAGACTTATGTGCACAAATAAGGAATCACTTTTATATAGGTATAGATATTGAAATTTTAACTTCTACTCAGGGACATATTTTATACACTATGGCATTGATTTTCTTTATGCTAATAAGTTATCATAATTTTTTTTATTAATAATATTATTTTTCTTCTTTACAAAGTCATTATCAAGTAAAACTTCAGTAACTTGTGAAAAGATTATTTTTTCACAAGTCACCCCATCGATTTCTACCACAAAGTCAGTACCTTCCTCCAACCTACCTCTCAAATGTTTATCTCCAAGTCAACTTCAAGAGCAACGCACAAGTCTTTTCTATTATTGTGAGAGAAGATATTTTTAAGGTCATAATTGCTCTCCTCCCAAGTTCCTTATCCTACTTGCTTATGATGACCTTTCTACAACTGACTCGACTACTACAACATTTTTCATTGATTTGGAATCCATTCCTAATTTGGTAGACCTCCAACTTTCTAGTCAAGTTCTTATAAGGGTTCCATCTCCACAAACTTTAAAATTTAAAGGGCTTATTAATGGACTCTCAATTATGATTTTAGTTGACATAGGAAGCTCTCATAATATCTTACAACCTCGTATTGCTCACCATTCGAATTTTCTTTTGCATGCTACTAATCCTTTTTCTATGATGGTAGGTAATAGAAAGCACATTACTTGTTTCGATATCTATCCTACAATTCCTATCTCATTTCAACAACATACATGCACTATTCCTTGTTATTTGCTAGTTATACAAGGTGCAAATGTTGTTTTAGACATTGAATGACTCCCATCCAATTGGCCCATCTAAGCAAATTTTTTCATTCCCCAACTCATTTTTATGGAAAACAATCCACTATCATCATCATAGGGGAACCTACTACTTAGTCCCACTTTGCTTCTTTCACTCAACTTTGCCAATACATGCACAGTGACTCCATCGCTTCCTACCATCTTCTTTCCTTTCAACCCATTACCATCGTACCAACCCCTTCTATTTTTGAAAACTATCATCACAACCTCCACTTACAAACCTTACTACCTATCAAAATATTTTTGCCTCCCCACATGGCTTACCACCTCCTTGTTCACATGACCACCATATCAACTTGATTCCCAACCATACTGGTAGTCAACATCCACCTATATAGGTACCCCCACTCCCAAAAGGAAACCATGACATAACTTATCCGAGATATGCTAACAAAAGACATCATTATACCAACCAATAACCTTTATTCTTCCCTAGTACTTTTGGTTTAAAAGAAATATGGCACATGGTGGTTGTGTTGATTATAGTCTTTAATGCACTTACCATTAAAGACAGGTTCCTTATTCCTATTAGGTGAACTTGGCATTGCCAATTTTTTTTCTAAAATAGATTTGAGTTACCATCAGATTTTGTTTCACCTTCTCGACACTCCCAAAATAACTTTTCAAACCTATGATGGTCACTACGAATTTTTGCCAATACCCTTTGGTATCTCTAACGCTGCTTCTACATTTCAATCATTAATGACTTACTTAGGCCATATTTGTGAAAATGTGTGTTGGTCTTTTTTTTTGGTGATAATATTATTATTTAGAGCAATTGTATGAAGGCTCATTTAAAGTATTTGAATATTATCCTAAACTTACTCAACACTAACAAATATTTTGCCGAGTTTTCAAAATGTGTTTTTGGAGTTGATCAGATGACATATTTCAGGTCATGGTGTAACGTTGGGTGCAGACAAAATTAATGCTCATTTGGAGTGGCCTCAAACCACAATCACACTTTCACACATGACACTCCATGGATTCTTAAGTCTCATCAATTTTTATAAGAAGTTCATTCGTGGTTACGTGTCTCTCACCGCTCCTCTCATCAACATACTTAAGTTACATTCTTTTATTTTACATGGAATGATGAAGCTATAAAGGTATTTAAAAATTTTGCAATCAACAATTACTACTACTCTTCTGCTCATTACCAAACTTCAACACCACTTTCATCATTGAGACCAATGTGTTTGCCATTGTAGTGAGTGTCATTCTTACTTAGCATCGTCGACCTATTGCCTTCTTTAGTCGGAAGCTTTGATCTTGCATGCAAGCTACCTCAGTCTATTCTAGAGAACTATTTTTTGTCACTACAATTGTTCAAAAATGGTGTCATTATTTGTTTGGTCACATTTTCATATCTACACTAATCAATAGAGCTTTAAAACTCCTTTTACCCCAAAATATTCATACCCCAGAACAACAGAAATACATTACCAACAAGCTAATAAAATCCATGGTTGATGTCACCTTTAAGGAGGGTGATTGGATCCTCCTTCAGCGCTTAATCCACATCAGTCGCCTCATCTTTCATTCGAGCCACACATAAGTGATAGGCTGAGTCTTGAGGACAAGACTTCCCTTGCAAACGAGGCCATTGTTAACAATATTAAAGACTCAAACCACAATAGATCCAAACCATAATAGGCCCAAAATAGA